TTCCTTAATCTATGATTGCTTGTGTTTGGTTTTAAATGCAATTAACTATTTCTATGCATGTTAGAAACTTAAAAGTCCTTGGTGGATGTTATCATTTCAATTTTGTTTCTTTATGAACAATTTAACTCTCTCTCTCTTTTCTTTTTTTTTTTTTTTTTTTTTTTTATTTCATTAAAAAAAATAAATTGAAAAGATTCTTGGGAAACTAGCATAAATGTTAAAAAAGGCTGTTGATAGATTTTTTTTTTTTTTTTTATTTCATTAAAAAAAATAAATGAAAAGATTCTTGGAAACTAGCATAAAGTTAAAAAGCTGTTGTTAGAGAATGAGCTCTTATATTAGCTTGTCTCAGAACCTAATGAATTAAAATATCAGTTTTTCGGCTGAGAATTTTCGTACAGTCATCAACAATAATGCCTAGAGGAGAATGATCATTAAGAGAGGAATATATGGCATATACAAGTTGCTGGCAATCAGAAAAAATTATTCCTTGATCTTGCATATTGGACTCCATTTAACTCTCTAATCCATACATTTAGCTCAAATAACCTCATGTAAGATAAAATATTATTTCTCCTAATTTTGAGTTTTTCAGCAATACCATAGTTAATTATTTATATTAAGTAAAAAAAAAAAAAAGAGAATATGGTAGACAACAAATTGAACCCCTGTCTTTGCGCTTAGATTCTTAAATTAAATGTTCATAGTACCATTTTCAAATAATAAATACATGTTGTTGTCTAAAGCTGCAAAAACACCCTTTTTCTTTGGAATGTTGATGTCTAAATCTAGAGGGACATAACTTTTGGTAATGCATCGCAAACACTTACATTACCCAACATTGATGCGATCCCTGATTTAGACGATTCACCCATAGCAACTACAAGAAATAAGGGGAACAAAAAGTAGTAGGGAGGTTTAAAAAAATTTATTTATTAAATATTTTCTTTCTTTTGATTAGGGTTATATGACAAATCACTCTTTAAATCATCTTACATTAATAAAATAAAGAATTTACGAATCGTATTTTCTTTGTCTTTCATATCTTTAAAAAGTATAAATTAAAATGATAAAAGCATATTTATAAATATGTATATTTGTTTATTTAATTTAAATTATAAGACATGTCGGAGTTTTAACTCTTTCTTTATCACATCTCAAAAGTTGCCGTTGAAATTGGAGAATGTAAATTTATATAAATCTTACAGTGAAATTTCATATTGTTAATATGGGATCCAAGACAATTCTCACGTCTTATCTTATAAGTAAAGTTTTATCCATTTTAATATACATTCATGGTTGGATAAATGATAATCATATTTATTAAAAAAAAAAAAAGGGTTTAATGCACATAATGCAGGCCATGATGGTATACCAACACAAGATGGTATCTATTAATTATGGATTCTTATTGGAATCTAAAAATGCAATGATAGCATGTATGAGTGAGGACATCCCATGGGTTCCACAATGCAATGATAGTATGTATGAGTGAGGACTTCCCATGGGCTCCACATAATATATACGTGGGTATTCCACCATTCTTCAAATTGATTTCATCCTTAACGCGAATAAGTAGCACAGTAATAAAGAGCATTTGCGAGATTTATCACCATGATTTAGATTATAGGTTCGATTCTTCGCAGCGAACTTCTCTCTTCTCAGCCTTTTTGCCTCTAAAGGCAAGCGAAGATTAGTTAAGTTTATAGGACGTTAAAATGGATATTGACTTAAAATACCTCGTGCAAGAAAAAAAAAATGATTTCATCATTTTTTATGGTCTAGTTGGTCTTCTCACTCACATGAGTAAGAGATTTCGAATTTGAGTATTCTCAAACATAGTTGTCTTTATCAATTTAGTGAGTTAGGAAAATGTTACTCTCCTATTATATAGTTAATAGTATTATTTTGATCCATTTGCATAGTTGTATTTAGAAAAAAATAAGAAAAGAAATTAATGACAGCTTTTTGATTTGACGATAATTTTGTTTGATCAAACATGTAAAGGGCAGGTCTTTAGCCCGGCCAATGGAGCCCATTTGTCCGCAAGGTTGAGACTGCGCCGGCAGCCTGTGCCCTTAACTAAACTATATTACATGCCGGCATGGTACTTGGGCCCCCGCTTTAGGACCATTGTTTTAAGGGTCCACTAGTTTTTATTTTTTTCTTAATATCCCTTTTGTTATGCGCTTATGCTTGTTTAATCGCTTTTGAAAATTAAATCATCCGAACCTAGCAATCAGGTTCGGATCCAAACCACATGTTTAAATACTTGCGAAGGTTGGAGGGAACTGCAGAATTTGAGCTGACGAAAAGGTCCTTCTTCTGTTGTCGTACTTATGCGAGTGAAGAACGTAGCGAAGGGTACATTAGGAAATGTATGCATGTAAATTTTTTTTTATTTATTCGGAAGTCTTATGGACATGAATGATATTGTATGTACACAAACTTAATCCTAATAATAATAATTTCACCTTAATTCGTAAAATACTCAAATTAATTAAATTTGAATTTTTTCAAAACATATATAAATAAGAAAATCATATTACCAATTTGATACTTCTTATTTATATTATTTGAGATGGTATAATGTTATTGATATATTAATTATTAGTGTTTTACATAAAAATAATAAATTACACCTATGTATTAATGAAAAGTACACATATATTAGTTGGGTATGGCATTTTTTTTTATTTTATTATAAGCAAATATTTGGATTTTTCATATTTTAATTATTAGCCATTTTAGTTAGAAGATGATGCAAATCAAAATACACATCCACATTTATTTTTTATTTTTTATTTTTTAAATCTGGTTTGCCTTATTTTTTAGGGACAAATTAGTTTGTGTCCTTTTGATAAATAAATTTGAAATTTTCATGATTTAAATTTTCATCCTTGGCTTGTTGCTTCCTAAATCTTCATCCTTTTTCACTTTTAATTAAATGCAAAATAATATTGATATATAAACATTAATATATTTAAAAAAAAAAGTAAAAAAAAAAACAATATATTTTGTTTTCTTTCTAACCATCAAGTTTCTTTTTTTTTTTTTTTTTTTTAACATAATATATTTAAATAAAAAAAGTAAAAAAAAAACACAATATATTTTGTTTTCTTTCTAAACCATCAAGTATTTCTTTTTTTTTTTTTTTTTTTTTAAAAGAATAAACCTTTGGTTATAGAAAGAAATGGAAGCTAACCAAATGGAGTTTAAAAAAATTTTAGGTTCAAAAATATTATAATGAAAAATCTTGTGATTTCTGAAATTAAATCTAAAAAATATGATAATTTAGGTTCAAAATATTTTTTTTATTTAAAATTAAAATTTTGTTTGATTTCCTAAAATTCTTAATGAAAATTTCAACATTGTGTATATGCACCCTTTCTTATGCAATACACGACAAAAACTGTAGGTCCAACAGAGATTTGAAAAAGGGCAAACAGAGGGCTGCCCTTTTTGCCACCTTGGCAAGCCTATGTGAAGTCCATCTCATCATTATAGAAGATGACACGAGGGAAAGCAAAACATCATCATTATATTATTTTTTTTCTTGCCCTATCAAATTTAACATGCTTTAGAGTTTAGATTTAGAATTTAAAAATTCTCTTGCTTCCAGTTGAGTGTTGACACTTGATGGTTTTCTTTTAATCTACTATCTTAAGTGATAGAGAAATTATACTTTTACGTAGGAAAATTGAAAATTGCACTTCTTCTACCATTTTGATTTTTTTTTTTTTTTTTTTTTAAAGTATAACCTTTGGTTATAGAAAGAATGGAAGCTAACCAAATGGAGTTTAAAAAAATTTAGGTTCAAAAAATATATAATGAAAATCTTGTGATTTCTGAAATTAAAATTAAAATATATAATTAGGTTCAAAATATATTTTTTTATTTAAAATTAAAATTTGTGATTTCCTAAATCTTAATGAAAATTTCAACATTGTGTATATGCACCCTTTCTTATGCAATACACGACAAAAACTGTAGGTCCAACAGAGATATGAAAAAGGCAACAGAGGGCTGCCCTTTTGCCACCTGGCAAGCCATGTGAAGTCCATCTCATCATTATAGAAGATGACACGAGGGAAAGCAACATCATCATTATTATTATTTTTTTTCTTGCCCTATCAAATTTAACATGCTTTAGAGTTTAGATTAGAATTTAAAAATTCTCTTGCTTCCATTGAGTGTTGACACTTGATGGTTTCTTTTAATCTACTATCTTAAGATGATAGAGAAATTATACTTACGTAGAAAATGAAATTGCACTTCTTCTACATTTTGCATTTAAATTAAAAAAATAATAATTTATTAATTAGTGTCCGCATAATCATAATCTCTTCGTCTATTTATAAATAATAATCTTTATTTTCTGTTTCAAGGTATAAAAAAAATGTAATGTATATTTCCTTTTAAATTAATTGTCAATAATTCAAAAAAATAAAATTTTATGATTAAAAAAATTCAGAACTCAAGATCTTCACTCGTCATATTAGTTGTTTGCTTACTCCAATTAATTTTTTTATTTATAAAAGTACAAACTTAAATACCCTATATATATATATATATATATATATGTGTACACTTAGTAGGATTTGACAATATCATTAAATTTCCACCTGCCTTAATCTTTCATGTAATGATAAATTAAGTAATATAGTTATCAAAAAGAGAAAGTAAATATTTAATACATTATGCAAATCATTGTTTAGCATTGGCATGACATAAAATTCATTATGACTATTAATTGTACATTCATTTTTTTTTATTAAAATGATTTTTTAATTTCTTAAGAATAAAAATACTAAAAAAAATATATAGACTTAATAAAGATATCATTATTATTTTTCTTTTTAATAAAAAAAAACGTAAAATTAGCGGTTCAGTTGCTTTACCCGCAAAAATATAAAACTGTCTTGCTGACAAAACCGAGAGGGTCGGAACCAGGTTCGGTGACGAGCTTTTCCCCTTCAAAATTAGACAGACACAGAGAGGGAAAGAGAGAGAACTGAGAGAAAGTGAGAGAAAATCATCCCAAAAGCTCCATTTTCTTTCTTTCTCTCCTCTCTCTCTGTAACACAAACCTTCTTTCCTTGTCTATCTATACTTTCAGATAGATCTCAATACACCTATATATCTTTTTCTCTGTTTATGAGAGTACATATATTGATTAATAGATAGATATATAGATCTATACAAATCATATATACATATACTCAATTTCTTAAGCTTGAAATGGGATATATTTGAACAGGGATTTCTGAAACAGGATTTTTGGAATTTAGAGGGTGAGTTTTGTTTTGTTTGAGAAGATGACAACAGAGCAAGATTTGCCTTTCTCTGTTGTTTCTCTTGTAGAGGAAGTTCTTCAACAACATGGGAATAAACTAAGAGAGATTGATTTGGCTTCAAGAAAAGCTGATGAAGCTTGTATGTTCAAAGATAATCTTTCCCTTCATTTTTATCATATTCTTTTGCAAAATTCCACAATTTGATTGATTTTTCTTGTGATCTTTGATGATTGGAATTTGGAATAACATTAAAATCGTTTTTATTTTATTTTATTTTTTGGTTTCTTTCGATATTTAATTGTGGAATTAAGCTATTGAATTTTCTAGATTAGAGGTAGTTGGGTTTATGCACAAGTTGGCACTGAAATTTGTGGTATTTGAGTATTAGATTTTATAATGTTAAAATAATTCATTTTCCGTAGATGATTATTTAAGTTCTATGTTGGTCATCTATGGAGATTAGATTTTGGAGGAATTTCAATTATTTGGTTATATGAAATTGTTAAATTTTGGTACTATAAGAAGAAGAAGAAAGCAAAAGATATATAAATTTATGTTATGGGACTTGTTTTGCAGCCCTTAGAAGATATGAAGCAGCTGGGTGGCTTCGAAAAATGGTTGGAGTTGTTGCAGGTAAAGATTTGCCTGCAGAGCCCTCAGAAGAAGATTTCAGGCTTGGATTGCGAAGTGGGATAATTTTGTGCAATGTTCTTAACAAGGTCCAACCTGGAGCAGTCCCAAAGGTACGAGTCAACCAATAATTTACTTTTATTATTATTATTTCAGTATCCTTGAGCCAAAGTTCATAAGTATTAGGATTTTACTTTTTGTTTTTATTCGTTTGTCCATTACATACTTTCGGTGACATTTGGTGAAATTGGAATTGTTGTTGGTAGGTTGTGGAAGGCCCTTGTGATTCTGCTGGCGTTCCTGATGGGGCAGCTCTATCAGCATTTCAGTACTTTGAAAATGTGAGAAACTTCCTTGTTGCTGCGGAGGAAATGGGACTTCCAGCCTTTGAAGCCTCTGATCTGGGACAGGTGAGAATTTCACAAAGAAAGGAAAACCTTGAAAATGAAATTTCAATTTCCTCTCACATTGTGGGAACTTTCTTTCTGCTATGATACATTTGCTTACATAAATTGAATTTTTCAGGCAGGAAAATCTGCTAGGGTTGTGAACTGTGTTTTAGCACTTAAGTCATACAGTGAGTGGAAACAAAGTGGTGGAGTTGGGACATGGAAATATAGTGGAAGTTTGAAACCTTCAAATAGTGGGGTTGGGAGACCTTTCATGAGAAAAATTACAGAACATTTCATGAATTCAGTTTCACAGACCTCATCATCAGGTAGTTTGTCCAGTGGTGATCAGTCCTCTCATGATGATCTTGGCCATGACCTCAATGAAACAGTTAGTGAGCCTTGCTGTTTCTCAGTGCTTTTTGTTTAGTGATACAATAAAGCTAAAAGCTTATTTATTTGCTCTCTACTTTGCAGTATGCTTCTCGTTCCTTGCATATGTTAGTTCGCGGAGTTCTTGCCAATAAGAAGCAAGAAGAAATACCAAACGTAAGGATTCTTCTTGTGTTGGATCGTTTCCTTAATATTTTGTTAAGTGGGTATGGAACAATAGAATACATTAAGAAATCAAAAAAAAGAATTCTCTTTGCAAACCATCTGTTGCTTTAATTTGTCTATTTTTTAACTTAGCTAAGGCATCTTTTGTGAATGACAGATTGTAGAATCTATGTTGTATAAAGTCACGGAGGAGTTTGAGCGCCGGTTAGTGAGTCAACAAGAACTGGTGAGGATCTTTGTTTCCCCTAATATTATCTCTTTTTCTCTTCAGTTTCCACCTTTCAATTAGGATTTGTGTGAGGGCTTACAGAATATGTACCAGTTGTTAACTTTCCATCAATGGATATTTTTAATTATTTATGTGGTCTGATAGATAAAAACAGCAGCAAGAGATATGGTAGCATCTAGCCCTGGCATGACTTCTAGTGATACAAAGGTATGACTTTGTGTACAACATATATGCTCTAATCAAGGAATGATTTGCATAACTTGGTTATTTTTAAATGCTAGTTCTTTCTTTAATGGGGTGGTGTTTTGTTTACCTAATATAATGATTAAGATGGAAGAAGAGGAAGAAGAAGCTTCACCAATCAGAACAGAAGAAAGTTCTACTCCAACTGAAATTGAAGAAGCTTCCTCACAAATCACACGAGATGAATGTTGCAACCATATGGATAATCATGACGAGGAAAAGAAAATTCACCTTTTGAAACAGCAAATGCTGTTTGAACAGCAGCAAAGAGATATTCAGGTAAATTCATGGTATTGTAGCACTCTTAGGATCTTTTAACCTTTTGAAAAAAGATTTTATGATTAACATTTTGGGTTCTGCAGGAGTTAAAAGATACTCTTCAAGCTACAAAAGCAGGAATGAAATTTTTTCGGTTTAAGCATCAGGAGGAGTTCAACAATCTTGGTAGAATTAGCACTCTGCTGCACCTTTTTAGTTATTAAAGGAGGAATGATATATGTTATTGCTATTTCTTTGTAATAGGGAAGCATTTGCAAGGTCTAGCTCATGCTGCTTCAGGATATCAGAGAGTCCTTGAAGAAAACCGCAAATTATACAATCAAGTGCAGGACCTGAAAGGTAACCTTTGTTGTTGGTTTGGAGTTGTGATTCAATATCTTTCTCTTTCTCACCATTTTGTTTCTAAGTTTTCGGCTATGTTTTCTTTAATGTGTTTGATTAGGAAATATTAGGGTATACTGTCGAGTCAGACCTTTCTTGCCTGGGCAACCAAACCGTTTCAGTACTGTGGATCACATAGAGGAAGGAAACATTTCAATAATCACTCCTTCAAAATATGGCAAAGAGGGGCGGAAATCATTTAGTTTCAACAAAGTTTTTGGTCCTATGGCAAGTCAAGGTTTGTAAGGCTTCAATTTGCTCTTTTGTTTTTGGGTATACATCATTATTATCAACTTTGATCTTCAATTTCTTTTACCTTTTCATTCCTTGTAGAGGAAGTATTTGCAGACACTCAACCTTTGATTCGGTCAGTTCTTGATGGCTATAATGTCTGTATATTTGCATATGGACAAACAGGATCTGGGAAAACTTATACTATGGTGAGAGATGTAATTTGTGTCAATGACTTGACTTCTTAATTTTCAGTCACAGCCTTTTGATTGATCAAATAACCTCCATTTACTCTTCTCATTCAATAATCCAGACTGGTCCTAAAGAACTCACAGAAGAGAGCCTAGGAGTAAACTACAGGGCATTGAGCGATCTGTTTCTTCTCTCAGATCAAAGAAAGGAAATTATTTGCTATGAAATCTCTGTCCAAATGCTAGAGATCTACAATGAGCAAGTGAGGGATCTCCTTGCTACTGATAGCATTAATAGAAGATATCCTTAATGACACTAATTCTATTTGTTAACAGCAATATATCTTGTTCAATGCATCTTGCATTTCTACTTGTATTCTTTAACTCCTATGTACATTAGAAATTCGCAACAGTTCTCAGAATGGGATCAATGTACCTGATGCAAACTTAGTACAAGTATCATCAACTGGTGATGTCCTAAATTTGATGAACATTGGCCAGAGGAATCGTTCAGTGAGTGCTACAGCAATGAACGACCGGAGTAGTCGATCTCATAGGTGAAGCACCTAATATTCTGCTAAAAGCTTTACGTTTTAATTGTTTGGTTTAGATATATGCATTAACAAGTAGTAACCTTGAGCGGAAATATATTTGCAGCTGCCTGACAGTTCATGTTCTAGGAAGAAACCTCACGTCCGGAACTGTGCTCCGTGGTTCTATGCATCTGGTTGATTTAGCAGGAAGTGAACGAGTCGACAAATCAGAGGTCACTGGAGATAGATTAAAGGAAGCACAGCATATCAACAAATCTCTTTCTGCTTTAGGAGATGTGATTTCTTCTCTTGCTCAGAAAAGTTCTCATGTTCCATATAGAAACAGTAAACTCACACAACTACTCCAAGATTCACTTGGTAAGATCAGCCGAAGGCATTCCCTTTTCTGGTGTACTATAATATCCTTGTAATAATTTTCTGATCTCTGTTACCATCAGGAGGGCAAGCAAAGACACTTATGTTTGTCCACATAAGTCCTGAGCATGAAGCTCTTGGAGAAACGCTTAGCACACTAAAATTTGCTGAACGGGTCGCCACAGTTGAGCTTGGTGCTGCTCGAGTTAATAAAGATAGTGGTGAAGTGAAGGAGCTAAAAGAGCAGGTTCTTAATTACTCCTATATACTCTTTCATTTGCATAGATTATCATATTTGCCTTGAATAACATTTTTTCATTACATAAGAAAGTAATATGTGTCTTAGACTCGGCTAAAATCACAGCAGCTATTAGTGCCCAGCTTATTATCTCTTATTCTTTGATTGTTGCACCAGAAATATAATTACTACCTTTTTTAATCTGTTTCAGATTGCTAGTCTTAAAGCAGCCTTAGCTAGGAAGGATGGAGATTCTGAATGTTCGCAACAATCTCGATCCAGCACCCCAGAAAGATATAGAATGAAACTGGGTAGACATTCTGGTTCTCAACACAGTTGGCATGGAGATAGTAGTCGCAGGCAATCAATGGATAGTGCCGGTAATACAGAGGTAATTTATCTTTACTGGTGGAGAAACCTAATTATTTGAAATTTGGCCTTCATTGTTTATAAAGCAATCATTTGGAAAATTCAATTGGACAATAAACTACAAGTTCATTTCCAACAGTCTACCAAAGGTGCTCTTAGTTTATATTTCATGGACAGCATTTACTTATGAAATACTGGTCTACAGGATGGGAGCGACTCTTCATCTCACCTAAGAGGACGAAGCTTGGATCTCCAAGATTTGCAAATGAATTCGCCTACCTGGCCAGCTGTTTGCGGTCTTGCACAGAATGGAAAGGAGGATGATAAAGAATCAGCTTCTGGTGATTGGGTTGATAAGATTATGGTGAATAGGCATGACAATGTAAGTTCAGATGAAAACCTTCTAGGACAATGGGAACTAGACAGTAGACAATTGCCTGAGCCATTCTACGAAGGCTATATTCGAGACCCTTCAAAGATTTACCCAGAACAACCATACAGTACTAAATCTTCTCGGATAAACAATAAAGACAACCAAGAATATGATGTACAGAGTCGTAGGTCCGATGTTCTCTCTACTGATGGTTCTGAAGAACTTGAAGCTGGTACAAGTGATTCTTCTGAGCCTGACTTGCTATGGCAATCTAATCTTCCTAGAATGGGTAACCTTACCAATGCAGTGGGACCTAAGCCAAAGAAATCTAATCTTAGGCCAGTGAAGAGACAAGAAACCAAGTAAGTTTCACTGCTGATATTTTTCTCTGAGCAACAGAAATTAATAACAGAATTTATTAACTTATGTTTTCTCTTTTTCTTTTTTTGAACCAGGAGTTTAATTCCATCATTAATTCCTTCCCCATCAAAAAAACCAAATGTCAGTCCAGTCACAAACAAGCTTGGAAGACAGCTAGTTTATGCTGATGTGAAGAGGAGAACTGGCCATGCAAAGTGAGAAGTCTACTACAAGGTACTGAGGGAGGTGGCTTTATGATTATTCTTTTTTCTCTTTATGTTTTTTAAATTTTTGTGTATGTATGATAAGTTGTAGAGAGAGAAAGAGAGAGAGAGAGAGAGAAAAGAAAGAAAGAGAGGTTTTCACACTTTCAACAGGCAATAATTTCAGTTGCCTAGGTTTTCTGTGGTGGTGATCATGATATATGCATGGAGTCCCATCCCATCTTGATGATTTCAATTTGTCCATATATATGTATGAGTGTTCATCTTGTGAACTCTTTTCTTTTTTTGTAACATTCTCATTTGCACTTGTTAAAAGAGAACTGCATTATGTATGGAAAAGATCAAGAAAAATTGCATCATCATATATTTCTTTACTTTGGTTTCTGTGCTTTTTGCCAATATAAGGCAGGCATTAGTTTCCCTTCACTCTGCAATTTCATTTGTTTCATTTCTTCTGATTCACATGTTTACTAACTAAAATGAAGTAATTATGTGAACAAATTTTAATAAATTCCAGTAATTATATTAACACTTTTCACGGTCTCTTCAGAGGGTTTGAATATAAAACCTTTCAGGAAAGAAACGACATTAGCACTGAAACTGATAATCAAGATTTTAAGGAACTCAAGTTTGTATTGTGTTTATACATGTCCAAAAGCGCATTGATAGGGTCATTGGGTGAAAATGATTAACTCGTTTGAACTGGAAGAAAATCATATTACCGATTTTTTTTTTTATTATATGTCTCTGATTGAAAAATCTAATTAAAATGGATTTAGAAACTAAATTTTAGTGCAAATTGAGCATTATTCCAAACAGAAACGTGCAAACAGATTAGACTATTGAGAGTAAGGTGTGGGCTATAATGGGAAACCTCTTTATTAGGTATTACTGGTTTTAAAATCGCCCGGTTTCGGTTTCAAAACTGTCGATTCTGGTTATAAAAATGATGGAACCAGAACCGAATCATTTTTAGACTGTTTCTAAAACGATTTTGAAACCGCCGATTTCAGTTTTTCGATTTTGATCCGAAATTAAATAATATATTTTATACTTTTTAAAATATATTTTTAAAGATTTATAGCTTAAATAAATAATAATAATAAACATTACTATCCAAAAAACTAAATCAATTTAATAAAAATTCTTAAAAATCATTTTAAAAAACTATAATAAAATAAAAAAATAAGTTGAAAGTTCCTCCAAAAATATATTTTTCGCGGTTTTAAACTGAAATTGTCAATTTTAATTTTAAAAATTAAAGAATCAAACTTTAATTTCATAATTTGATTATGATTTTAAAACCAAAACCGTTGATTATAGTTCAACATCGATTTTTAAAACTGACCTTAGTCATCCCTACCTGCTATCGCACGTCAAACTATTTTTGGCCAACAAACTTCCACTTGAGGGAAGATATATGTCAACCTTTCCAGCTGGAGGGTCCTGACCCCACACAAATGAGTGGCTAAACCCCCTTAAAGTGGGTCCCATTAACACGTGGCCACGTCATCAATCAGCATGGAATTGGAATGTTAGCCCTTTTTTTATTTTTTTTTATTTTGCATTTCAATTTTCCATTCTCACAGGGCAACGAGATTTTCTTATATTTTAATCTCAATTATAAGAATTCTCTCTCATAATTTTATTTATTTTTTATTAAATTAGGCAATATATATATATTGTCTGTGTTCACAATTTCCTCGGCTTAGCCAAATACATGCATGATTGATGATTCTTTCTTTTTTTTTTTTTTTTAAATGTATTTAGATAAAATAATTAAGAATTAATTTAGGCAATTTAGTGAAATTAAAAAGCAGTAGCAATGAGGAAATAAAGGTGAAAAAAATATTAATAATTCCCTCAATTATTTTAAAAATATTAATATTTTTAAAAATATTTTAAAAATTAAAAAATATTAAAAAGCAGTAGCAATGGATGTATTAGTAATTGCTTAAATTAAGAGAAATTATGACATCCAAAGACAAGGAGTGCAAACCACTTATTTTGACTTTTCATAAATTATTATTATCTTATGGGATTAATAATTACATCCCCAATAAAACCAAAATTAGAATCGGTCACCTTTATCTTTCTTTGCTCAAACAATAATAATATTAAAAAAAAAAAAATATTTCTTTAAAATTAACCAAATCTAATAAATATGAAATGAATATAAATATAAATTGTATTACTGATACGAGAAGTAGTGTGTTTTTGGTTTGGAACCTCTCAACTATAAGAGTTTTTATAGATTTTATTCGTAAAATGAAGGACTATCTTAATCCATAATGTTCTATTAGCCCGATGGACCTAATAATGAATATAAAGATGCATAAAAAACAAAAAAATGAAATAGCTTAGAATGTCATTATCATGTTATGGGACTGAAATACAAAAGAATAGCTGGCTTCACTAAGTCTGCGGTGTTTGATTTTGATTATGCAATTGCTTCTCTTAATCAACTCTCCAAATAGACAATTTGGTCTTATCATATCATAACCCACCAACCTTTTGCCAACCAAACACCATTTTCTTCTTCATATCATATTTTTTTGGTAAGAATTATAAGTATTCTATTTACATATATTAATCGAAGTCAACTTCCTTCAAATGACCTTTCTAGACATTAAAATCTCAAAAGATAATAACTCACTTGTTCAATAAAATCTCTTAGCATTTGTTTGTACGAGAGTAATTTTTTTTTTTTAATAGAAGAAAATATTATAAAAAACTACTATGGAAAGTAATTTTCTTTATTTAGAAAAAGGAAAAAAAATAATAAAGAAAGTAAATTTAATTTATTTTTAACCGTGTCTGAAATTTAGAGAGATCAGTTAGTGGAATTGTTACTATTTTTATGAAATTTTCAATATTGGAGGGTCTTTTTTTGCGTTTTATTATATTCCAAAAATTTTGTTAATTTATTATAGTAGTAGTTTGTAATATAGTCGAAGAAGGGACAAAAAGGTAATTTGGAGGAAGAAAATCCAATTAGGCGTTTTCCTCTAAAACATCGAGACGGAGATTAGAAAACCTAGATTATAGATTAGGACATAAACGTCATTATCAGAACGGCATTTGTCCGAAAATCAGCTGCAAAACAACAAAAACCCGCGTCTCTCTATCTCTCCAGATTTCTCCTCCAATCAAAATCCACTTCTACACCTGTGAGTCCCTTTCTCTCTCTAACTCTAACTCTAACCCTTTTCTCTCTTCTCTAGTTTAGGGCTTTTCCTCTTGCCTCTGTTTTTAACTCAAAATCGTCTGCTAATAGTAGAAATGGAGTGGCTTTAGATTACTATTCATCAATGCTGGATCTGTTGAGGCCTCTTCATGTTTCAACTGTGAGTTTTCTGCTTTCTCTCTCCTTTCCTCTCATTCTCATATTTTTCCATTCTCTCCTTCAAGGCTTTTTTTTTTTTTTTTTTTTTTTCACTCTATACCTTTTCTCTCTTCTCTTGAAGTTTTTAGGGGCTTTTTCCCTCTTTCCCCTCGTGTTTTTTTAACTCAAAAATCGGTGCTGCTAATAGTTTAGAACATCGGACGTGCTTTAGATTACTATTGTTCATGCAAGTGCTGGATTTCGTTCGGATAGCCGCTCCTTTTCATTGTTTTCTAACGGAGTGTGAGCAGGTTCTTTCTCTGTCGTTTTCTTACTTCTCTTTCACTCTGCCATTCCAATTTGTTCCCATTGCTCCTCCTTCAAGGGTCTTTTTGTTTTTTTTTTTTTTTTTTTTTTTTTAAATAGTTTGATTTTGTTCCCATTTTTATTTACTTTTAATGGATTTTTAATGATTAAATGCAAACATTGAAGATCCATCAGTTAGTTAAGATTCTTGTGATTCTGTGAAGGAGATTTACTGGGTCTGTTCTGATGGATTATTTTTTTTTTTTTGCTTGAATTACTGCCGTGCACATTTTGGATTAAATTCTTTGATTTCCTCCTCTTTTTGTTTTTCATCCTCAGAAGTACATTTTAGTCAAAATTGCCTATAATGAATTGATTTTTTTTTTTTTGGGGGGCATGGGGGGGGGGAATTAGATCAAAGGGGGTGGGGATATTATATCAAATGCGGAGGATATTTATGGGTGGGTTTATTGGTTCTAATTGTGACATGGTGAAATTGGCCTGGAGCTTTTTGTAAGGAATCTAAAGACAGACTAGCAAATGAGTTTTTTTTTTTTTGGGGGGCATGGGGGTGGGGAATTAGATCAAAGCGGAGATATTTATGGTGGGTTATTGTTCTAATTTGACATGGTGAAAATGTGGGCTGGAGCTTTTTGTAAGAATCTAAAGACAGACTAGCATGAGCTATTCTAGCTTTGTTAGTTGGCTGGATTGTTTAATATTTTGCTGTGGATTTGGTTTCTAGAATTCTGATCAGTTGGCATGTTCTTTTTCTGATTCGTGTGATAAATAGATGCCATTATGTACTAAGGTCTTGGTTTCATTGATTCTTATGTTAGTGAGAATTCATAGAAATAATGATTTATCACCGGTAATTTTTACTTATTCAAATAATATATTGATTTATATTTTTTCACTGATCAGAGTGGTCACTAGTAGACTACTTGTTTTGATTCACTGGATTGAAATGTAGAGGGTTTATATGATGATGCTTTTGAGATTTGAAGATAAAAATTTTTCGTTTTTAATGAGAATGGATAGGGTTTTGGCACTTGGATTGTGGGAATGTTGACACCTAAACTGCCATGAGCCAGGCTGAAGTCTCGAGGATGAAACCTCCTCTTGTTCCACTTGGGACCTTGATCGGTCGTGAGCTTAGGAATGAGAAGGTTGAGAAACCTTTTCTGAAGTATGGACAGGCTGCTTTGGCAAAGAAGGGAGAGGATTACTTCCTGATAAAACCCGACTGCCAGAGAATTCAAGGGGATCCTTCAACATCATTTTCTGTCTTTGCGGTACTTTATTTCAATTTTTCCCCATCCTTTCTTTATTCATGTTACTCTTAGCTCCTCTAAGAGAAGATTGCTTTGTGTTTTGTTATTGACAAAATCAAAAAGAAAAGAAAATTTTGACAGCTATATGAATATTTCATTTCTAGAAAGTTATTTATATGATATATGCTTGTAATTTGAAACCCTCAAATAAGGGAAGGGGGTTGAGAGAGGGAGAGAGAGGATTGTAATTTGAATATTTGATTTTCTTTCCATTTCTCAGTTATCAGGTGGAGAACAAGGTAATATTAGAAACCCATAGGACTTCTTAACATTGGTCCAACTCATCCTTTTTAATTCATTATGGTGCTTTTTTTGACAGATTTTTGATGGACATAATGGTATATCAGCTGCCATCTTTGCTAAGGAAAACTTATTGGATAATGTTCTGAGTGCAATTCCCCAGGAAATTAGTAGGGAAGAGTGGCTTCAAGCCCTTCCTCGAGCTCTAGTTGCAGGCTTTGTGAAAACTGACATAGAATTTCAGCAAAGACGTATATACGATATCCCTTCCATAAAACTTCCACCATCCTTTTGGCATCTTTGTTAGTATGCTTACCTTAAAGTTTGACATAAATTGCAGGGGAGACTTCTGGGACAACAGTAACATTTGTCGTGATAGATGGGTGGACTGTGACTGTCGCTTCTGTGGGGGATTCACGATGCATCTTGGATACTCAGGGAGGTGTAGTTTCCCTTTTGACAGTTGATCACAGGCTAGAAGAGAATGTGGAGGAAAGGGAGCGTGTAACTGCAAGTGGGGGTGAAGTAGGAAGGCTAAATGTATTTGGGGGCAATGAGGTATCATTCGGTCATTATCTGTCACTTGCAACTTGTTTCTGGAGGAAATCTTTTGTATCCCATTCCCTTCCCCCTCCTGCGACTTCCTTTGTTTCATTGACTCAATTTCTCTATGGTTCATAGGTTGGTCCCTTGCGATGCTGGCCTGGTGGCTTGTGTCTTTCTAGGTCAATTGGAGATACGGATGTTGGAGAGTTCATTGTCCCAATACCTCATGTTAAGCAAGTGAAGGTATGGTGATTGGGAATGGTTTTGTTACTTTTCTTTTATTATTTATGAAACTCAGGGAATTCTTTTGTGGTTATCTAGCTATCAGATGCTGGGGGAAGACTAATTATTGCTTCTGATGGTATCTGGGACGCTTTATCCTCTGATATGGCTGCAAAGTCATGTCGGGGTTTACCTGCAGAGATTGCTGCCAAGTTGGTGGTTAAGGTGATGTCTTGTCACACATTACTGTAGTGTTTTGTTTGCTACTGGTTTCCTCTTAATTATACTTGTTTGTTTTACTCTCTAGGAGGCTTTAAGGTCAAGGGGACTGAAGGATGATACAACATGCCTTGTTGTTGATATTATCCCATCTGACCTTCCCGTCTTACCTCCTATACCAAGGAAGAAGCAAAATATGCTTAGTTCACTTCTGTTTGGAAAGAAATCTCTGAACTATGTGAACAAAGCAACAAATAAGCTTTCTGCTGTTGGAGTGGTGGAGGAGTTGTTTGAAGAGGGTTCTGCTATGCTTGCAGAAAGGTTTGTTGATTATCATGTTCCTCTTATACAATTCAGATGCACTGCTTTTTGTTTTTGTAAATAGTTTTTGTGAGAAATGATAAACAGCCAACTTTTTCAACGAAGGACCTGTTCTTTTTCTCCTTTCTGCTGTGTCCTTCAGATGCTCTGATTTTACTTGGATTGCAATGCTATTACCAATGTAGGAATGGTAGAATGGGAGGTTAGGAGTTTTTCTTAACTTGATATCTAGTCCATATGCCTCTAACTTTTCTGATGCAAATGCAGGCTGGGTAAAGATTTTCCTTCGAACACAAACACTGGGCTATTCAGATGTGCTGTATGCCAAGTGGATCAACCCCCTACTGATAGCTTATCAGTAAACTCAGGGTCTTTTTTCTCACCTGGATCAAAGCCATGGGAAGGCCCCTTCCTCTGCCCTAACTGTCGAAAAAAGAAAGATGCCATGGAAGGGAAAAGACCGAGCAGACCAATAGTGACTGCATAGCAAATAATCTGGTAACAGAGTAAATATATTTTTTGACTGGAAGTGTCCGCATGCTTGGTTTTTGGCTTTCTGTACTGATTATAATAGTTTTATAAGAAATGAGGTAGAAATATAGTGAGTAGGTGTTTTGTTTTTACATTTGTTTGTTTCAATTCTGGTTTGCTACAACTTTTGCTAAACTGACAGAGGACAGAGATGCCATCTGATAGATACGGTTGTGATAGTTTGATTGCTAACAGCTTGAAGTTGTAAGTAAAAAATGAAGGTCGCGTAGTGATGTTTTCACCGCAGCATCTTCATCGTTGTGTCTGTGTGGAAAGTCACCACCTTTGTGCATTTTCTTCATTGTTTACTTCCAGTTATAATGTATTAGGAAAACAATCAAGAATATATAAGAATTTGGTGTTCCCTATGTTTTGATATCCTCTAAAAGCGAGGACTTTCTCCTTTATTTTGAATTTTTATTGTTTTCCTCTTATAAAATCGATTTGAACTTGTAGTGAAACTTGCAAATTAGAATAACTCCTCAACACTTGTTATTTGGTAAGGCCAACATGTTTGCCATGATCAAATAGTTACAGTATAAACATTATATTTTGCTAAGCATTTCCTCATTTATTTTTTATTCTTATTTTTCTCAAATTTGTTTCCTGTCACTTGATAATTCTGTGAATGATAAACAGACATTAAAAATTGTATTTCATATGATTTCATGGAAGGAAATTGAATTTTTCAGAAAAGGTTCACTCCTAAAAGGCTAAATCATAACTTTGAGATGCCCCACCACATAAAAAATAAAAAATAAAAAATAAAAGAAAAACGGTTCGGGGATACGTATAAAATGTGTCTTGCCGCTTACTTTCTTTTGGACAAAAGGTGTTTAACTTTATACCTTGACTTTGTTTGGAGAGTGTAGGGAGAAAAATAATAGAGTGAAGAAAATAATGAGATATTTCAGTAGTTATTTTTTCACTTTTTTATTTGGATATAATAAAGAAAAGAAAAGAAATTATGCTTTTTTTTTTTTTTGGAAAAAGATAAATTTTAGAGAAAATACATTGAAATTTTCATTTTCTTGGCTTATTTACTTATTTAAATACAGAGAATTTAAATAGAGAATAAGTTAAATTTTAGTATTTTATATACCTAGTTTCTTTTCTTCAAAAGGATGCTCTCATATACACAAATTCTAATAGATATATATATGAAATAAAGGAAATCTTTCTAGAAATTTTATTAATTTGAATGAAGATATCGTATGTGACGAAGATAATTAGGATATATTTTCATATCTTGTAGATAAATTTAAGTCATTTATCACCAATTTGATGAATGTTATTTGGTAAATAATACATCCTTATAATATTATTCCGGTCTATTGAACCTCTCGAAAAATCATCGAGCCTTTGTTTACTTTGTTTTGTCAACCTTTATAACTTTCCCCTTCGACAGCGCTGGCTCATAACCAGAACACGACTATTTGTGGGGGATGAAAAGCAAACTTTGTCCAAAAAAAAAAAAAAAAAAAATTCAGTATCTATTTCTCCAATTGAACAATAACAACAAACATACTCATATAATGCATAACCGAAAACGTAACCTTAGCCTTCACAGAGCATTCCACATTTATCGGCATAGAAAAAAGTTGATATACGCAGCTTTAACCTTCTCCCTGTTTTTGCAGAGAGATTGTTTTAATAACATGAACTCAAAACCTTCAACTGACAAGTGCAGTAATTTTACCATTATACCAAAGCCATCTCAATACGATAAACAACTAAAGGGAAGAACGTAAAACATTAAGCACACATAAGAAGCATCAGCATCTCTTCATGAGTCACATTATTAAACCCCAATGACCCCAAAGAAAAAAGAAAGAAAGAAAGAAAGAAAAGAGAGATGTTAATATGGAGGCACCCATTGAAGCTCAATTCCATAATTCCAAGCATCAATAGGATCTATAGACTTGATATCCACAACAGAAGTATAAGCAGTGCATCCTCCAACTCTGACTCTAACCCTATGAGAAGTCATTGAAGCATCTTTCAAGAAATGACAACAGAGAGTACCTTTGCATCCACTTCCCTCTCTATTTCCTTCTTCAAACCTCCTACAATAACTGCTTGATGTGCAATTTAATGGTGATAATAAAATAGTTTCAGAACAATTAAATAACATAACAGTGTTATGAGTAGAAATATTAAAAGGCAAATTCTCATCAAGCATTAACCCTCCTACACCAAGATCAGAAGAATAACATGTGTTTTTTTGTATCAATGGAGGTTCTATAACAAGCTTATAAGAACTAGGGTTTATGCTAAGGATCTTATAGTAAAACCCTTGAGATGATAAGAATTTTAGGGCTCCATCATTGCAATAGATTCTATAATTAGGGTTCCCACAATTTTCTCCTGTGCTTAGTGGGTATGGAACTTCCATGCTCCCACATTTAGGGCAAGCATTAAAAGCTGACACTCGGGTTACTAAACCAAGCAAAAAATACACCAAAAACAACATTTTGGTTACTTAAGACACAATTAAGAAGAAAAAGGCAGTGAAAGACTCTTTCTTTGAAGCAAGAAAGCTAAGAGCTTGATGCCCTATTTATATAACAATTTGAGACCCAAGTTACCTGAGGTGAAGTTCTAATTACCTGCTAATAAGATATTATGAATTCCCGAGTGGGATTGCCTTATGATGCAACCTCTGACGCATGTCTGTGCTTAAGATAACCACCACTGCCCTTTACCAATTAGTAAAGGACAGCCAGTAGATTTATGATTCTGGCATGAACAAAGAAGCTAATTCGCCAAGTTACACTGTATGCTAACCAATTGGATCAATTTCAGGATGTAAAATCAATTAACATATTCATTCCTTTTGACGCTGGATCCTCCCTTTTCCAAAAAATAGACTTATTAAACACAATCAAACTGCTATTTAGAGTTATAATCATACTAAAGTCTGATTTAGAACTATCAGTATTAAAGTCTTGTTCAGCAATAACTTTTGAGTTAACTTTTAACATTTTCACTAAGTGAAAGCTCTATTTCTATTAATTGTATCATTTGGTAATATAATTTTTTATTAATAGCTTTTAAAGGTTAATAAAGTTATTTATGAAACATTAAGCAGACTAATGTTTAATTAAACAATTAATTTTTTTTATCATTTTAAGTTAAATAACTATTTTTACCAAATATTTCTAATTTAAACCGTCATATAAACAGCTATCGGCTAATAGCTAACAGCTTAAAGCCCGGTTACTACAACAGCTAAGCTACTGGCTAATATTGCGAACAGATCTAAGTAAAATCAAATTGACAATGCCCAATTGCCAACCTCTAAAAGGGGCAAAAGCAAACTGGCCATATCTCCAAGATTTTTGAGTTTCATCTCACTCACCCATGCATTCTGTGGCCAATAAGTTTGTACCAGGCAAGTATTCAGAAAGGTGACTGGATTCCAATTTCCTTATTCAAAAAAGCCAAGACTGAGAGGGCAATTTTCTATTTGAGGTGTTCGCACTTACCTTAAGTGGTCTGGCATTAAATTCTTAAAAATGGTTTGGGTTGACCAAAAGAGGCAAGAGGAAGAAAAGACAAACCGGCAAAGGTACTAAAGATGGAATGATTCAATTCTTAATTTATTAATTTAATTAGGCCATTACTATGATTGTGGCCATGTTATTAATCATAGAATAAGAAAACTCAAGGATCTGGCGTCCGTTAATTGCTTTGGTGACTTGAAAACTTTAAGGGCAGCAAATAGATATACAGGTTTTGGCACACAGAAAATTTCTTTAAAATTTTTTTCGTACGTTAAAAGGAATCTATAAGTTGATGCAGCTCTGGGATGGGCCAACCGTACCTTATAGTGATCATTTTAATAAGCTTTTTTAGGCTTTTCTACCACCACACAAGCTCCATTACTCAGAATTGATCATATTATTACTCACTAAATCATTGTCCATACAAAATAAATAATTGTGGTATGAAAAAGAAATCTTGTAAGATTCAAAATACCATTAATGTAGATTGCATAATGTAAATACAAGTTAAAGATAGATCTCTCTTTAAACCTCACATTAGACGAGTCATACAAGAAGCTCTATCAGGAAACCGCGGTGTAAGTCAAATCTTAAATTCGACGCTGTAAACAGAGAAATCAAGTCGCATACAGGAACAACCATGGAGACCAATTCGAGTTCTCATTTCATACTCTGTTCCAAACCGTCAAAACCAAAACCATTGAAGCCCCAATAAGTATACTACTAAAAAACCAAAACCAGTCTCCAAAAAGTTCAAAGCTGTGAGAAAACCTCGTTTAAACACAGAACAATTTGATTCTGAAGGGCAAAACGAGAATTAAAAATGTCCTACAGATAAAACATGAAACTTTCTTTTAAGTTTTAAATCCAGAAGCTGCTGCCTGATAATATTTGAGAATTTAAATGGGAAATCTAAAAAAGAGTAACAAAAATGAGATAAATTATTATAATTAATCGTAATAATCAAAACCAGTAGTATCCACCAAATCAAAATTGACATCCTCAATCCCAGATGTGAAAAAACAAGCACCTTAAACAGATTACATGGAATATGAAAAGTAACCAGGAACGAACCGACTCTGCACTGGAAAAATTCAAATAATATGGGAGGGAAGCGTAACACACAGCATTGCAAAGTGTATCCGAGAAAACATATTACTCTTTAAGTACAAAGGAATAAATAACTCCAGGTTAAAAGAACTCCAAATTACAAATAAAGTTAATCAAACTCACAATACTAGAAGGGGAAAAGGAAAGGAAACCATTCTAACTGCAGGTCTCAAAATTGAAACAATGATTATTCATTGGGGTTTCCTAGAGAAATTTCAACTCGGTTTACCAAAAAAGCCATCACCTGTTTGGCAAATTATATTCAGAAGCTCCAATGATTATCCGCGTCTAGATGATGACCAAGAGGTCTTTGAACTGCTGCCGCGCCACCTATCACCAGGTGGGTTGCGATCCTCAGGTCTTGGACCACTGCCCCATCGATCAGAGTCTGAGGGAGGAGCTTGCCTGGAGCTACCGCTGCCCCACCGTTCTGAATCTGAAGGTGGCTGCCTTACGCCACCACTCCACCGTTCCGGCTCAGAAGGAGCCTGCCTGCTGCTGCCACCACCCCACTTCTCAGAATCTGGAGGAGCCTGGCCAGTGCTTTCTCTATCCCTTCGGAACCTAGGCACATACTTCCCAGGGGTTGGAGCAGCTGCAGCAGGAGCAGAAGCAGCTGGAGTAGCAGCTGCAGCTGCAGCAGCTGGAGCAGCAGCTCCAGGTTCTTGACGGGACCCAGCAGCAAGCTCAGAAGGTCTAGTAGGCCCATCAGTTGATCTTCCCAAGAGAGCTTCCCGCCTTTGCCTTTCCTTCTTTTCTTCAAGTTCTAGTTCTCTCTGTCTCTGCTTTGCAGCAATCTCATCCAGCTTTGCCTTGCGTTCAGCTTCTTCTTTCCGTCGTCTCTCAGCCTCTGCATATTTGAAAAAAGGCTAATCAGATTGTAAAGATCACAAACTTAAATCTCTCTTCAATAAAAGAATGTTTGGTAAAATAATAATAGCGTTGACTCAGGCCATAACAAAAGAAAAGGAAAATATAGTACAGGGGGTAAAATAACAACTTGGACAAATAATGTACAAAATGTGAGGAAGTTTGCAAATAAAGAGCTGAAACCGATTGAAATGCAGTAATCAGCTTCAGTAAAATCATTCCACAAGCTCAATAAGGAAATGTATAAGCATTCTTGAAGAGCTATAAGAAAAAGAGCAATATTTATTTAAGAATTAGCATTCTCTATCTACCTTCTCGCTTGCGAGCTTCCTCCTCTTCACGCAACTTCCTCAGCCTTTCCTCTTCAGTCCTCACATAGAATATTTTCTTCCTATTAGCTTCCCTTTCTTGTTTTCGGGCCTGAATAATTTGATTGATTCTTTCTTCTCTCTCTGTTCTCAGCCGGTCAAACTCAGCTTGTCGGCGGCTCATTACTCTTTCCTGGAATATCATCTGTAAATGATAACAGAAACAAAATTAATTCCAAGCATTGATGGCAATCCTAAAAATAGCCATTAACAAAAACAGCATCCTTACTTTGTTTTCCAGCATCCGAGACAACCTATTCTTCTCCCTGAGGTCACCGTCATGGCGCTGCCTGCTAAGTTCAATCTCTAGCTGCAACATTGATAAAAATTCACACATTAAACTACATGGACAAACCATATTGGACAAGGCTAGAAGAAAATTATTCCCTTACACAGATAGATTAATGACCCTTCTATTCAGCTTTTGAAGTGCATGCGCTGCATACATAACAGGAACTTAAAAAGATACCTGCTGCTCATGTTCATTAAGAGCCTTCTCTTCCACCAGGCGTCGTTGGAAAGCAGCCTCAATCAATGGTGCTGCCTCCTCTCTCTTTGCTCTTTCCAAATAATCCATCGTTTTAGCTAGTTTTTGTAATTTCTTCTCCATTTCCTGCCTCTCCCTGAGCTGCTCGCTCAAAGCCCTTTCCATTATAGTTTGTTTCGTCACTTTCTCCTATGAAGACATGGAAGTGTCAATTTGGGAAAATTAAATCCCTACAAATGAAAGCAATGAAGTTACATCATGAACTTACTCCTTCTAAGATCGGCTTTTTTCCCCCCTTCCTTTTACTTCGCTTGTCAACATCCTCAAGCAAAGCCTGTGCTTCTTCAAGTTCTCGCTGCTCTATTTCCTGGAGGATCCTTTGGTTCTTTCGTTGCTCAATCTCAGCTGCAAGCCTCTTCTGCTCAGCCTCCTCTCTTTTCTTCTGTAGCTGCAGCCTTCTTGTCTCCTCTTCTCGTTCCTTACAAAACAGAGAGATCCAATAAGATGATAGTAGTTTATGGTTAATGATTGAACTTTATGCATAGCAGTTACCATGTGCATACCATTTCCAAAAGTTGACGTTCTTGTTCTTCCTTCCTCTTTTCAATAATTGATTTCCGAGCAAGCAGTCTTTTATGTTCCTTATCCACAATCTCCCCCAATCCAGGTAAAATCTCACCTAGTTTTGAAGATTTCTTTGCTGGAGGATATATCAAGGCCCTCACTTTATTTAAGGATTCCGCAAAAATTGCAAGATGGTCTCGCAGTCCATCAGATTCAAGACCCTTGAAAGAGACCAATCAATGAATGTAATCATACTTGAATTCAAACCAACATTCATAAAAAAAAACAAAGGCAAGACAAACCAATTGGAGGTATAAATGCAAGAACTAACCTAGCATAATAGTTTTTTCCACAGAGAAGAATGTTGTGTGCAAGGAGGCAAATGATAGATAGAAAGCAAATGATAATCTATAATATAAAAAAAACAAGCATAGATAATAGAACATACCAAATTATTAAACAATATGACGCCCTTTGTATGTTCAACTTTCATAGCTAAGAAATTATGTTTCACAGCATCAACAGAAATTTTCTCGACAACAGAAAAGTCAAGAAAGGGGATCATCTGAGATAAACTCTCAATTTTCATCATCTGATACACCTGTGACACCTGGAAAATCACGGAGAAGCATAAATGACCAAAGAAGAGGATGGAGATCTCAAAGTAAGAGACCCATAAAAAGTGGGTGAAATCTATGTACCTGCTGAAGCAGCCTTAAAGTAGCAAGCTTTTCAAGGGCAGGAACATATTGAGACAGTTGCACTTCTGGCACAGAAGAAGCTGAAGCAATTTTTCCCCCAAGTTTTGAGATCTTGGATAACAGTGGCTGTACCTTTGCTGCAAGATCTAGGGGGAGAAACTCATTCTCCAGAAGATGATAAAGATCTTTCACTTCCTGTGTAGCACAGCTCAATACCCCCTTGGAAATCTAAAATACAATCGAAATAATGAAGAATTAAGAGAATAAGTCTATATTATACTTTCACAGAAAGACAAAAAAAAAAACAAAGAATAACTTTTCAAGGACCAACATGTACAATTATGTTGCACTTAACAGTTAAGATGCAAAAGTTCATGCTGTGATTCTTGTTGGAAAGGTGAGAAAAAAGATTTGCACATATCAGATTTAACTAAGGCATTGTTACTTAAAAAAAAATAAAAAAATTTAAAAAAATTTTTAAAAAAAAACCTCAAACAGAAAGGTTTCTTTATTTGCAAACCCTCTATCAAGTGAGGCAGACAACGGAAGTAGATAGAGCAACAAAATGAAAGAAAAAATCACTTACCAGTTCTGACAGAAGGGATGGCCTTGAAAGCTGTATGAAGAACAAATAATGAGAACAAAGGAAACAATCAATTACAACAATGCAAAATTTAAACATACATACAAATAAGTACTGAAGGTTAGCCAAGAGTTAATTCAATGGAATAAATCACATTACCGCTTCTCTACTCTCAGGTTTAGGGTCTAGATTGAATCCAATGAGATTAGCCATTCTCAAGTTGCGCTCTTTTTCATTTTCAAGTTCCAGGTGTGATGCACTTCGTGTGTGGTCATAGGGAGCCACTGCCAGAGCAGCCAACACAACAGAAGAAGCTATCAACTGTAAATCCTTCTGGCTTAGGTTTTTATTGAAGCTTTTCTGAAGTGTAAAAAGTTTGAACCATGCATAAGCATGATAAAGATGACTCGATGAAATCCAGAAAATCTCAGTTAGCTTCGCATAGTAAACCACCATCAAAGATGGCTTAGGAGTCTTTTTGACCATGCACATTAATCCATGGATATCCTCAATGGACCGAAAAGCTTCCTGCACATGGGAATTGAGAAATTAATGGCAAAAAGAAAGGCAAGCTTCACAATAACAATGATACAGAAATCTCTTCATGAAATACTATGAACCCTAGGTCCTATGAACATCATACCCTTTGGGATGGTGCAACTATAGGTAGAGGAAAAGCAAAATTACCCACACTATAGAAAATTACTTCTTCTTTTTGCTTGAAAGTCATACATATATTTTATTTGGCTTATTATATTTAGATTTCACAATAGGCTCTCAAATCTTTATTTATATTTTAAATATTAAACACATTTTCATGCAAAAAGTAAAATTGACATTTAGTAATTTTTTTAGTTCTGACATTTTTACTACAAAAATCATTGAGTTGTCCTCTATAATGGTGGCATCATTATAATTTTGTACCTATAAAATACAGAATCAATTGAATAAAGTACAAAATTAACTATTTAAAAAAATTTAATAATTATGAATCTGTAAAATTGAATGACACAAGCTCATATTAGGCTTCACTTAAAGTTTTAAAAATCAAGTTCTCAATTTTCAAATGGATAAAAGTTTTAAGAAAATATGTAATAGTACCATGAAAAAGGAACCAAAGAATACTAAAAAAACAAAAAATAACGAATACGGGTAAATTATTTGAGATAACCAGAGGCCAGTAAAGTTGGTAAAATATATTTGGATTCTAGCAAGTCATTGTACTTACTAGAGTGATGCCATGCATATTACACTGCATATTATTGGGTTCTAGGCCTCCTAATTACTTGTTGAATAGTTAATGTATTAGATAATTGTCACTTATTTTATTTAAAATAACATTATATTTATTGTTAACTATACAATTGCGTGGGAATTAAATAATTATTTATTGCATAATATTTCACTTTCTATAAAAATGAATGCAGAGTAACAGAATTACACAACTCCACCAGAATTGTGCTAGATGAGGGTACCAAGGGGGATATAGTGAATTAGGTAACTATACAGCATGAACACATAATCATCAAGTCTAGACATAAATGGAGCAATTTATGTACCTGCCAGAGTTCAAGCTCAGTAGCAATTTTTAGTTGCTCAAATCGGGTATCAAGGTACAGCTGCAAGCTCTCTGGGGCTGACAGATCAGGCCGGTCCCTTTGATCTCTATATTTGTTGAGGTTTGCTAAATGGTTCCTGATAATCTCACATAGCCTTCTAAATTCAGTTGTCCTTTTGTACTGTTTGCAGAATTGGAAAGCTCGATGTGCTGTCATCTATAATTAATGACACCAGTCATAAGTTCCCATTGCCAGTTTTGTTTTAGAGACAATTTGATTTGAACATATATGCAGAGATGGAAAATAATTCACCTTAAACCTTAAGCATACATTAGTATAAAAAAAAAAAGTCTAACCATGTAAAGAAAGATGCTTAATATATCAAAAGATTTTCTAATTAAAGGGAATACCGCATATAGTGCCTCCAACTTTGAGTTGTTTCGTAAGATCTCAAGCACCGTTCTATATGTCTCCCACAAAAACTTGAACCAAGGGGTAACAAGTTCACGATCAGATCTATCCTTTCCTTTCTCTCCACTGACATAACTAAGCATCAGATCTTCTGGCCTCTTATCTGCTTCAAGGTCATCAACATCAAGAGCATCTTCTAAAGCTTGTGCCTGACTTCGTGCTTGTTCAGCTTTCTCAGTGGAGAGATGCATGAAATGCTTAATCACCTCCTCCAAAGAATTCACATTTACTTGTTGGCAGACTATACGGTACTGTATCAAACCATCCTTTGCAAATCTTCCCCTTCGCATATCAACACATAGCTCAACATATTTGAACATAATTTTTTCCAATGGCTTTTGCCATGCTCGATATCTCTTAGAAGTTATCAGATCATGCAGAGCTTGCAAAGCATCTTGCTTCTGCCCCACATTTATCAATTCTGCAACAAGCCAGTTATATTGATATCATTACTTCCTTAAACATGTTCAGCAAACCACAAACATCCCAAATCTTAAAATTACAAAAAAATAAATAAATAAATAAAGGAAACCAAAACTGAAACATATGTTACGAGAAAAGAAATTTCCACTTGAAAACAAATTCTCAACGAAACCGCGGCATATCAACCAAGCAGTGATGGAAACTATTGGACACTCGACTCAATAGAAACCAAAACTCATAACTCACCTTCCGCTCGCTTTAAAGCGTTCTCCGGTTTGGCATAAGTCGCCATCTCCAAGCAAAATTTCGAGCTGTTCAACAAAAAACACAGTAAGCAAATATCAAATTACTATTCATCACAGACATAAAAATTAAAATCGATAATTAAACGAAATCAAAAAGAAACAATAGAGGAACTAAATCAGAAAATAACAAAAACAACCTACAAACTACGAAAAAACGGGAGATTGAAAATCCAAATAAACGAAAATAAAGAGAAATACACAAAAACAAAAAAAGCACATTCAATTAATAATAAAGACTAGCGAGAAGAAGAACAACAACAAGAACATTACCGATCAGCAGAAAATCGTGTGCGCGCGCGCGCGTGCGTTTGTATGGAGAGAGAGAGAGAGAGAGGGAGGCTAAACAGGAAGAAAGTGCCGCTCTCTCTGGCCGAGAAGTTGAGAGAGCAAAGCGCAGAGTTGAGTTCTTTTTAGGGTTTGTTTCAAGCTAGACCCGGGCTATCCTAAACCTTCTCGGATTTTGTTTTGTTAGGTAACTATTTGCACTTTCTAGGGCTTTTAAAAGATTCGCTTTTATATTAACTTGTCCGGATCCGGCCCAAAATAACTAAACAAAAAGGATTTAATAACAATTTGGGCCCATGTAGAACTGAACGACATTAATTTAGATTGGGCCATTCTCATTCTGATGCTTTATTAACAATTTTTGACACCCTAAATTAGAAATAATAAATAATAAAACTCAAAAGTGGCCCATATTTATTTTCAAAACTCAACTTTATTGATTTTTTTTTTAGTGTTTCGAGGAAGTTTCGAACCTGAATCTATTGTCAGACTTTACGTACACTTACCATTAAGTTATATCTTGACGTAAATTTTATTGATTTTTTATTTACAAGTAAGGCAAGCAAATCGTTTGTTATTTTTCTTCCAAAAAAAAAAATTCTTTTAGTCTAATAAGTGTTTCACCGTCATAAAAATTGAAATTTACCATAATATTGAAATTGAAATGAGGAAAGAAGAAAAATTACATTTCCCATTAAAAAAAAAAACTCTATGATATTTTTCTTTATTAGAAAAATTTCAATAGTGATAAAGTTTGATCTCACAATTTAATTGAAATATTTATATTTTTTATTTTAATATTATTTTATGATCAAACATTTCAATAATTAATCGAGAAATACATGTTTTATTGAATATATACACCAAATAAAAATATGGATGAATAACTAGTCCATAAATAATTTTCAAAACAAGAAAAAAAGCCAGTCAAGAAGTAGATTAACTAGATGTGCTCCATTGTCCACTCCATGATGTTATCCAATTGAAGATATGGATGAAAAAGGAGTGGGGGAGTTAGTGGGAATCAAATTTTAACTGGCCTAACCTTCTATCCAATTGACTGATATACCCTTCTAGAGGATTTCATTCTCAGGTCAGGTGAATTTAAAACTCCATTTGAAAACAAGAAAATGGGATAACATGTAATCCCACATTTAAAGGAACTTATCCATCACATATTTCAGTTTCTTGATCATTTCTTCAAGCCATAAGCATCAATGGCGAATTTGCACCTATACTTCACTTAAAGAAAATATGATTGAAGAAAATCCTGACACTTGCAATAGAAACTCAAATTCCTATTTGTTTAGCATCACCATTTCTCAACCCAAGATTAGAATCAAGATTCCAAAACTGCTGGCCAAGACCATGCAAAAAAGAAGTAATGGTGCCAGTAATATTGATCATGTCAAAGAAAAGAAAAAAAAGTGGGGTAAGTTTGGCTCCATCTTCTCTAGCATCTTCAACACCAAAAAATCACCAAAGGTTCAGAGAAACGATGACGACAATATTAGTACTGATCATCAAACAGGTCCATCAGAGGCAAAAATCCTGAAAAGGGTAGATCAGTATTTTGCTGTTCTTGATGATCATGACTCTTCATCATCTACTTCATATTCATTCAACAGACTCTTGCAGATTGAAGATGAAGAAGAGGAGAAAAGATCAAACAAGGAAAAGAAAGGAAAGAGTAACAAGCAGCCAAACAAGGCAGAGAAGCATCTGAAAGTTTCACCATCCCTTTCGAGATTGTTTCGCAAGAGTACAAGCTGCAATAACTTCATCAAAAGCAAAAACCATAACATTAGTCCGACAAATGTTGGGAAAATTGCAGAAGCAGTGGTTGGAGGACAGGCAAGTAGAGTAGCATTCAATAGAAGCACCAGTGATACAATGAACCTGCAACAAGCTCCATCAAGGATATCGACAACTCACCGGAAGTTGAAGATGGCTCAGTCAAGTAGTAATCAAGAAACATCAGAAAGGGAAGATAGAGGTGGGGAGCAGCAGGAGCTTTGCAAGAAGAGGATCCTAATGGGGGAGAAGTGCAGGCCACTGAGTTATTCTGGCACCCTTCAATATGATAAAGATGGGACTTTGTTACCAGATGCCATTCCATGATACAGAAGGCGTAGTGTTTGTGTAGGCTTTATGCGTTTCATCTGATTAACATTTTCATTTCAATTTCAATACTTTGTAGACACCAAATGCAATAAAAAGGAATCACAATCACAATTGAGCTTATTTAAAGGGTAAAACAAATTATCAATACAGTAACTGTTTCAAAGAGTATATATCACTAGGGGAGTAGGGAAAAAAATCAATAACTACTTCTAACTACACATTAATATACAAGAATGAACAACTCTAATCATTAATGTCCTATCTTACCTTTGATAAGGGGCATATGGAGACTAGGAACCTAAATTCTATGTTGGGAAATTACAATGCAACCTATGTAGAGTACAAGGGATTTCATCTCTGTAACTGATCCGGCGTGTGGTTGCTTGTAGTGGATGATGATGTCGTCCTCCCATTTAGCACACCATTATCTACAGGTGGAGTTGTTCCCCATTTTCCTTCCGATTCTGTGGGTTCCATCACCTTCACTGATCCATCCGTCAACCCTATTGATAATTGGTTGGGTTCTTGCGGATGTGCAGCAACGACGAGAGGGTAGACTGATTGACTTCTACAAAACAATACAGAGAGAAACTGTTTTACAAAAGGGGGGAAAACTTAAACTTACTCCATATAACTTTGCTAAAAGCAGGCATAAAATACACACACACACGAAGCATGAAATGTCTACATCTACCAGCACATGGAAACTGGATGATTAAGAGTTGGAAAAAGTAGAAGAGTTGAGATCAAACTCAGACAAGCCAGATAGGAAACCACATTACCCATTCAGGACCGCCTGAGATAAGTATGCTGATGAAGCAATACGGCACCTTAGTCTCAGGCTATCAGCATCAAACACTCCAATGTTACCATCACAAAAGGTAGCGTAAATTAATTGGCTGTTGCAAGAGTACGCCGCATAAGATAGGGGTGCAGACAATGTATCCTGTGGTAACCACTGAAAGGGAAAAGAGTATAGGAACATCATAATCAAATCTTATAAGCAATGAATGTCAAATATTTATATCAAAATCCTACCTGTCGGACACGTTCCATCTTTGATGCATCATATATTGCCAATTGGGTCTCATGAACTACCAATAATCGGGTCTGATCAGAGTGGAACTGTACTCGGGTTTCCCCAACAGGTGCCTTCCCTACTGGAATTTGAATTGCAACTGATTTCCTTTTCTCCCATGTATCAATACTCCATACACAAAGCTGTGCCATAAAGACCAAAATTGTTTTACAAACTAATGGGTACATATGCCATTCAATGTAAGACTTCAATTTCAATTAAGACAGACATATTGCAGGAGTTAGGGAAATTTGAGTGCCACATGTAATGCTTGATTGAAATATGTTTGAATATTGCATGACTGGTATGATTCTTAGTGCCCCCAGGTGATGAGTTGGCAATTTACCATTGCCCTACAAACCAACCTCCCACTTCTCTCTCTCTCTCTCTCTTTCTCTCTCTCAACATCTTTCCTCCATCACATCAATAATATCCAGGACAATGACATTAATCTTGACTGACTGCTTATTTAAGCGAATGTAGCAAATGGACACGCAGGTGGATGTAGAGAACATATCTACAAATAGAGACAACAAAGCAGCTACAACTATGACAATATGACACAAAAACAAACCCATATATCATGTCTACATGTCATGTACTACCATAATGAGGGCCATAAATAAAATACAAAAGAAGCCATCAGAAAGCGCCCTCAGACAGTACTAGTCTGACTAAATTGCATCTGCATGTGTTAGCATATCAACAATTTTTCATTAGGAATTAGTTTTGAGTTGATATTTGCTTAGTTCTGCTAAATTCAAAGAAAAAAGTAATAAAATGGATAAGGAGAATAAGTATAAGAAAGGGCGACAGGATGCCCTCCCACTTACTTGAGCATCAGCGCCTGAAGAAACCAAGATATTAAGATTGGTGGAAAAAGCTAAACCAGTTATTCTCTTCTGATGACCCCTCAATTTTGATTTCACCTAGAACCAAAGCACATACATTAGTTCAGGTTCTAGGAGGGGTAAAAATCCTTGCAGGAAAAGATTGAATATCTTTTTGAGCTAGTAATCACCTCATCCACTCTAACATTATAAATGTGGATAGCTGAATCCTCCATTCCGATGGCAATTATATTATTATCCTGAGGATGGAATGCTAGGAAAGTTGAAGCAGGAGGAGGAGACATGAATGTTGTCATTACCTGCCAACCAGTCATTGACTGTCAACTAAATATGATGATAAGGATACTAATACTAGTAATAATTGTTGGACATGCATCAAATACTACCTTGAACGTCATCATGTTAAACAGTGAAACCTTTCCTCCAGCAGCAGACATTACATATGAGTCATTCTTTGAAAGTGCTATGCATGGGACTGCTTCTTCAAGGTTAACGCCTGCCACATCATTGGCCATAAGAAGACCACTGTTTGGTTGCCAATGCTGCGGAACAGCACTAGCAGTGGCCTTTAAACATTGACAATGTAAGCAATTTATTCAACAATGTAAGAAATTGAAACATAAAGGAAGCAAGAGAAACAGTTGAAAAGAACAAAGGGGAAAGAATGAAGCAGAAGTCGAAATACTATTCTTAATAGGCTATGTACCTTTCCTGTTGGATTCTGGTCGTTGCGTGTCCACTTCCAGAGCTTCTGAATACCATTTGACCCAAGTGCCAAAATGCCAACACCAGAATTTGTGTACAGAAGTCGAACAACCTGGACACAAAATAACATTACTTTAGCACTACCGAGTGGAAAATCATTCAATAGAACTCAAATTCAACAAGGAACTTGATAAACCTTGCTGGAAGTATCTCTGCTGTCAGGCAAGGTAACTAATCGGCACTCGCCAGAATCCAAAATTTCAGCCAACTGCCATGGCTTTGTTTTATCAATTACATCATCCACAGCTCTGGGCTTTTCCATGTTTCTATTCATGGAATCAACTCCATTCTACAAGAAAATTAAAAAAAGTTAAATCAACGGTTTGCCAATAAATGCAACCAAACAGCAGTAGTTAACAAAAAATAATCAGAAAAAAAGCAGCAAAAAAAAAAGCCCTAAACAGTATACCATGAATACATGTTTGATTTCCTTGAGATGGTATTGTTCATTTTACATGAAAAGACAAAGTCCAGATTGCATGAAATGCAGTATTAAATCATGGACTCGACATTTATCATTGACAAGTTCAGGGAGCACATTCTTTTAGGGAGAACAAGGCTAGCCCTTGTCTCCAACTTCTAGAGACAACAGTTTTTTTCAAACATGTCCAAACATTTTGTTTGCTCAGGCATTGGTTTAGCTACAAAATAAGAAGTCACAAGGCCACAATTAAATGCTTATCAAAGAAACCAATAAATGCAATTAATCTCGTGTAGTATTTCATAAAAATCAGAACCAAAACCAAAGTCCAGATTTGAAATTGTGTAGCAGGCATACAAGAATTGGAGAAGGCCTAACAGGAGAGCTTCTTTCCACTTTCAAATTGACTGGCGTGACATTTGTAACACCAGAAGCGCCAGAAACCTGATCAGTGAACAGAAACATCCGTAAGGAACTTACAATCTAAATATAATTCAGAAGAATAATCATGAAATAAAAGAAATCAGTGTAACCTTGATTGCAGCTGATTCAATAGGTGACCTCAATCCTTCAAAAGCTGGAGTTTCTACTGCTCTCAATGATCTTAGACCAGCAGTATTTGCTAGTATCTTAAAACCATTGTCTGCTGTAGTAACAGCAAGTAGATTTCCTTCCTTATTGAATCTCAAGCGAGGAAGACTCTGAACCAGTTGATACAATTAAGTGCCTAGTTTTACCAAAATGAGCATCTTGCACAAGAGCGCTAAAATTAATCAAATAACTAACCGGCAGTCCACCATCCGCATCTGTGCTTGTGAGAACATTGGTATTATCCATATCCCAAAACTTTATCTGGCTATCTTCACCTGCAGCCAAAAAGTGGTTTTGTGTGGTGTCAAACTGCACTACACCTGCAGTTGATTTCTTTCTGAACCCAACATAGTGCCTCTTTATCGCTCCTTCACTTTCGTTCCATTCAACTAGGAAAGAATCCCCCTCTTTACTTGTTCCACAAGAGAATAATCTGAAAGAAGGGAGCAGAAGTGACAAATAATTTGTTAAAAAGACAAAAATAATGAAGTGACAAATAATTTTGTTTAAAAAGACAAAATAATGAAAAAGGCTAAGTAAAAATGGCACCAAAGATTTCACAACAATATGCCAAAAAAAGTCTAGAAACAATAAACAAATTAATTATTACAAGTTAAATTAATTAAGGTTCCAATTTAATAATTCGATAATATTACCTACTACCATCATGCGACTGTAAAGCAATTCAGCACTGTAAAGCATTGTAGTGCACCAGCGGCCTGGTGCATCATAATCAACTCTAGGTCCCACATTATCATATAGCCAGGCCTTTATCTTTCCATCAATAGCAGTTGCGAATATAAACTGCAAGTTCACAACTCAAAAGGTTAACGCCACTGTAACATGTCTTCTATAATTAATTTAACATGTAATTGATATTATACCACTAAAAAACCCTATTGGTAGACTGGCAGCACCACAAAGAATACGATTCTAGTGGTTGGCTTAGCTACAAAAAATATGGTGGAAGAAAAGGAGCAGGCCTAATTGGCAGAGAAGTTGGCACAGTCATTGATAAGGAATTGCAAAATATGCACCCTATATATCAGTGGCATTACAAGTTTTAACGAATCAAGGTAATTATGGATTATTAGGGTAAAAATCTTAACAAGATTGTTATTGGTTACTACAGCTTTAGTTAGCAGAAATGGAGCCATGGATGCACAAAAATGAAGAAATATAAATGGTTGGATATGACATCCATCATAAGAAGTAGTACGCATTTCAATCGAGGTCTTAAAATAAGACAATAACTGATTAGCCCTTTCATTTTTGTGACATACCTGAATGCTTTCTTTATGGTGAGGACATATAGAATAAACTGGAGCCTCATGACCTTCAAAATTAAATAATTTCCGTCCCCCTAAATCCCAAACCTGTTTCATGTCTTACATTAGAAACTCCATGTTTTAATTATCCGCCTGTGAAAATTAATGTTTTACCTTTATTAGCTTATCATCTCCACAGTTTACAACACACAGTTGTTTGTTTGGATGAGCAAAAGCCAAGTCATTAACACCCCCAACGTGAGCATCAATCTAAATTTTTTTTTTTTTAAAAAAGGCAAGTAAATCCTACAGTTGCTTACAGTTGCTAGCGTAGATCATTTGATCCATTATAAGCATACAGGTGAACCAAATGCTTATTAAATGCAGCTCCTGTAGCATAAAAAACAATAAGATGACAAAAAAAGCACCTTATGGTGCTAATTTCTTATTGAAGGGCACATACCCACAAGACTTCAAAAAAGCACCTTATGGTGCTAATTTCTTATTGAAGGGCACATACCCACAAGACTTCCATCAGAATTCCATGTTACACGGTTGACAGAAATTGGTGCATCTTTGACAAAGGACGCCTGCAAGAAACTCTCAAATATAAGGAGCAAAAATATTATTGCTTCAAATTCTAAAGTACTGCAATAGATGTATCCAATGCAACCCACAAGAGCTACCACGTGAACAATAAAGCATTCTCTTAAACTTTGTTATAAAGTCCATGCAATTCCCAAGAGAACTCAAGAAACGAATACTAGGAGAAAGTAGAGTTCCAATAAAACAAAGACCTGAAATTGCAGCGAACAGGCTGTCATTTCCCAAACTTTGAAGGGCTTTGAAACCAACCTCTCCCGAAGCCCAAGGTCCCACAGTGTAACTTCACCATTGGCAGAACCAACTGCCCAAGTGAGACAATTTGTTAGAGAGGGGGGGGGGGGTGTTAGAGAGGGGGGGGGGTGTGGGAGAAGCTAATCAATTATAGTGCAAGTAAAAAAGATACCATCATACCAAGAAGCAATGTGGGGGGGGGGGGTGTGGGAGAAGCTAATCAAATTATAGTGCAAGTAAAAAAGATAACCATCATACCAAGAAGCAATGTATGATGAGAAGGATGGAAATCCATGCTTGTAACAGCTGAACCTTGATGCATGGTTAAAGCTACAGTCCTCGGCAGGTCATCGAGAGACCAAGATGCCTGCTGCCGAGATGTCGGATATGTGACCTGGAAGAAAGGTACAGATAGTCTACCCAACTTTAGTGGTGAAACAAAGAAATCAGACCTTAAGACAGTCCAAATGCTTAATTATGAAAATAATAATAAAAAACCATGAAATTATGCAAATGGAACAAAACCAGTTCAGACAACCTCCTCAATAGATTGGGCAGGCCGCAGACGTTTCATTAATTGTTCATGATCAGGACTTTGATAATCAACAATGCCAGGAGCTGTAGGTGGCGTTCTTGGCCTTTTCAAGACTGAAACTGAGAAATTCCAAAAGTTTGTTAAGCAAGAGTCAACTTCTTAATTAATTATTTAACAAATGAACTGTTATTTGTATAACAAAAAATCAAGTTAACTAAAACGTAGGAGTTTGAAGTTGTTTCGGCTTTTCCACATATTTCAAAGCAAAATCCACCACTCTAAATGGCAGCTTCATCGGAATTCAATAGCTAACCTTGATTTTGAGGAACAGGTATTGACGATGCTGCGACAACAGCTGCTTGAACAGATGAAGATGCAGAAGCATTTGCCATCCAACCAGCAAGTGCACCAGCATTAGCTGCTGCTGCAGTGGGTGGAAAGGGCTATACAGAAATATTGAAACAAAGTATTCAGTAATCAACTTCTGAAATTACACCTTTAGCCTGCATTAGAAAATTAAGATTTAAGATATCATACTCCATGCGCCCCAAGAGATGTATAAGCAGAAGGCTTTGCAACAGCAGCAACTGGAAGGTTGACAGGTGCAGGAGCTAGGGGACCATTTGGAGGTGTACAAGAATGATCTGTGAATAGAGTCTTAATATCTGGATTTGGTCTTGGGTTCTTGCATAACTGGTGCTGCCAGTTTAAACTGCAAATTTACAAGTAACCACATATAATAATAAAACTTCGAACAAGGCAATTATATAAATCATAGTAGCAACATGCAGGAGAAAATTATGCAAGAAAGAGTCGAATACTCTAACAAATAAAAAACATAACAGCTAAAGAGAGTGAGTAAGTGCAAACAAGATAGCTCTAAGGCTCCAAGTATCTATAAATTAAATTTATAACCATAAGGAGATGACTGATTATTAATATATTTATTGGGAAAACATATGTGCTATGAGAGTGAAATTTATTCAACTGAACCAAAAATGAAATAAATAACAATTTCATTAGAGAGAGAGAGAGAGAACAAAAAGAAGCTTCTCCTTCAAAAACATGTAAATTGTCCCAAAAAAGTGGACTCTAGCTTAGTGAATAAGATAAACTAGAATTTGCAATAAAGCCAAAAATAATAATAATAATAATAATAATAATAATAGCATATAAGCCTTAATCCAAAACTATATGGGATCGTCTATATGAGTCCTTTGCTTCCATTCCACTCTATTAATGGCTAAGTCCACACAAAACAAAGGTCAACAACAAAAAAAGTAGGTTTTCTTGCTGAAGCACAACCTAAATAAATGGTTTTATTGAAAAAAACAGAGGAAATCATGGCTGTTTATTTATCCAATGTTACATCAAACTTACCTTTGATTAATCAGCGTCCTCAATCTTGAAGGCTTCAATGTAGGAAAGGCAAGTTTATCTCGGAAAAGAGGGTTCGCTTCTATGAGCTTTTTTAGCTCTATCAACATTATGCTGCGAGCTGTTTTAGTATCACCATATTTGGACAGCTGCTCATTTTCCCTGTTATCATAACCAGGAGAAAGAGTAATATTTTAAACAAATTAAGTGGTAGTATGGCTATGGAGATTAGAACAGTTTGTTCTTTAACCAGCATAAATCATTGAATTAACTCAACAGAGATATTCATGATCCAAATGATGAGACCTCAAAACCAAACCAATTAGAAAGCACAGCAAGTTATCAAGTAACACCTGACTAGATAATCAAAATAACTTACCATGAAAGAGAATTACCTGAAGTTGCCAAGAGTTAAAAGCTGAGTGATTTCTTTGTACAATTCCTCATTAAATGTAGAGAATACTTTTAAATCATTCACCAAAATTTCTACAGCTTTTGCCTTGTCTTGCCTGTAATAGGTAATCAAAGATAACAAACTCACATTCTTTCAAAACAGACAAACTATATAGAAGTAACATAAAACAATCACAGTTCAACATACCCATCAAGTGCTTCAAGATACTTTTGCTTCCTGATTTCAAAGAATATCTTCATTGAATATCTGTTATCATCAACTTTTGTGAATCCCGATAAATATTTTTCAACTTCTTCCCATTCTCCAGCCTGAACTTTCTCTTCAAAGTACTTCATATTGAAGAAAAATCCCGATTCCTTCTCGAGTCTATGGAGAAAAAATTACTTCAGAAAATTTTCTCCAATCCATTAATTTACGAATTAAGTCACGTGGTTTAAAGTTAAACTTCCAATATTTAGATGCACAAAAATCCCTCCGCCATTCAACCATCTCCCTTAGTTTTAGAGATTTCTTATATTAAGAAACTCCTCAAACATTTGAAGTGTCCCTCATTTGGCATCATTAAAACACTTGTTAATCTGCCTCGGTCTCACTTGAAATGACACTGCCCCATTTTTTATAGAAGAGGAAAAAAAAATTCACATTCTTTTGACTGTCAGCACACCAAGAAACCCCAATTTAAGACTCCAATTCTCAGCATTTTTTATTATCCAACCCCAAGAGAACCAAAACCCCAGTACTCAGCTACAACTAATGAAACTATCTTAAACAAAACTTAAATTAGGATATAAATTTATTCATTTAACAAAAATAAACAAATTAAATACTATAGTCTTTCAAGTATTTCATAATTTCTCTCCTTACTAAACTGCACTTTCTTTCCATTAGTTTACCGCACAGCCCAAAGACACTAGTATCCAGAAAATATTTCGTAGATAACGAACAAACCATCGTTCAATTGAACCTAACACAACACCTACTTATACATATGCATAAAAAGAATAAATAAATACATATGTACACATAGATATATAAATATATGTGTAGGAGTATGTACAAGACAAAAGAAGGGGCTTACTTGTGCACAGACTCCTTGAATTTCTCTTCTTCAAGGAACTGGAGTATGAGAAATACCAATTCTCTGCTCAAAGATGACATGTTTGGAACTGCCAAATTCCAAAGCCAACCGATCCAGAAACCAGACCAGTAAAAGCGAAAAGGCAGGGAGCTTTCAAATGAAAATCCGCAGAAGCGCCAAACTCAAACAGATAATACACAAATCAGTCCCAAATTAGCAAAGCTAAGTCATGAATCTGAGCCTAATTCGACAAATTGGGGGCTTTCCTGGCTCAACTGAGCTCGAAATCCAAGGAGTTCTAGGGTTTCAAAGGCTGCTTTGGAGAGAGAGGAAATAAACAAGAGGGAGAAGAAAAGCAAAAGAAAGACTTCTTGCTATCTTCGATGCGTTGTACAGGCGTCTTCTTCTATATCCACTGACCTATCAGTGATAAGAACCATGGATTCTTGATACGTACGTGCACTTATATGAACCCACTTATCTGCTTATCATTACGTGAAGTGATAAGACGATAAAAGACGGTGTAGCGGATTCGAAACCACAAATTCAAATATAGTGAATATTCGCTACACACGTCCACTCGGTCCCCTCATCGGTACTGTCGCTTTCTCTTTTTCTTAATTTTGCATTTTATCGTCTCAAATCTCGTTTTCAATTTATGATGTTCTCGAGTTGATTGTGTAATTAGCACGCGCGCTTATATAGAGTGAGCTTTTGGCTAATTCTAGATTTTTGCAAGTGAAATTTGTTGGTGGCTGTCACAGTCATGCATGGTGTTTATGGGCGTGCGGGTTGTAATTAAATTAATGAAGCTGAATTTTGGCATCTGTTTCACTAATAATTCAAAATAATAAAAATAATTAAGTAATTCAAAATCAAAATCATAATGCTGGAGCTTATAGCCAACATGTTTCTACATGGCAATCATAAACCATTTGACATTAGTTGTCTTAAAAAACTAAGATAAACAAAGTGTTAAATTATTCTAAATCATTAAAATTAATATGAAAACTCTCATTTACTTACATTTTGACCTATCATATCTTCACGTTACTACCAGAATATAGTTTGCAATAATTTTCGATAGTCATTATGTAATTAAATTCACTAATTTCACCCGAAGATATATCTCTTTATATCTAATTCAAAGTTAGATAATTCACGTTTTGGTCATTTTTCATATGAACACTTCGCTTAAATCAAAGTTTCAACCATTCTTACTAAATAGTATTGCATTTTACTATTAATATAACTACAAGCATGCGGTATCAGGATATTGGGAGTAAAAATTAAAATTTATTTATTAATTTGAAATTTTAAAAAAATATTATCTTACATATATAATTATTTTAAAAAATATTTCTGATGATAGTTCTATTGTGTACACATCTACGTAAAATGTGTTTCGTTATAGCAAAAATAAATTCATGCAAAATGTGGGTTATCGTTAATTATGAAAGTTAAAAAGATGAATTAAAAAATAAAAACTATTTGATGTCCCTTTTGTGCAACTAATTACTTTAAACGCATAAAAAATAAATATTTAAATAATATGTATAATTATAATAAATCATTGATTGGCTGCATGTTCTAGTGTAGGAATTTTCAGAAGTTGGATGAACTAATAGCTCTATCTCTATTCTGTGCCCATACGAAATGAATACTCTCTACTTGATGAAAGTGAAGTGTCTTGAAGAAAACTGAAGTAAGTCCGATGGTGTCGTTTTGCAGCTAAGGAACACGTCTCTAAAAGACAAAATGAAAAAGAAGGATAGAAAACTCATTAATTATCATTAATTACAAAATTAGTTATTTTCTATGACTAATCTGAATAACTAAATTGAAAAATCCAACTAGATTGATTTGGTTAAATTTTTTGATTTTAAGTAAGGGTTTTTTTGGTTGCTTAGTGCCAAACTCCGACAATTGAAAGCGAAGATGACCTTAAATATCCATTTGTGGACCGCTAATCCTTAATCCACTCTTTCGGACCGAATTAACTTTCTCCAACCGTCCGCTTTTTATCTTTTCATGCGATAAATTGATACAAATATCTCACGATATTATATATTTTTTACCAATATAATACAACTTTTTAAAAGCCATTATAGGGAAACACAAAGCGGGGAAGTGTCTGGTCATGTGAGGGCCCACTTAGAAAGTACCAGTTCTAGACGCCACATGCCTCATGTACTTTGTGTTTTTTAAGTTGCCACTTGAGTTCTCGATAAGGCGCGTCAAGCCCTTGTTTGGAGTTGGAAGTTGCGGATGGTGCGTAACAATGAGGATGAAAGAAAAGCTCTCTTGTTTTTATCAAGACGATTCTGAATAAGCTCAACCCGCAGTGTTTCATCGGTGGGGAGCACGCAGTACGCTATGCAATTTCCACCGAATTCTTTTTCGGTGCCTTCCTCTGGGCCAATAAATCGCGACTTTGCATTGAATATTTATATTAACCGAGTCGAGTCTCACGTCAACTACTCAGTTCACGCTCGATTTTAAAAATATTTTATCCAACGTACCTAACCAGTTAAGCTGAACTTGTGTCTGTTTATTGAATTTATTTAATAAATAAGTGTAATAATTTTTTTTGAGCATGAAAAGATTTTAAAATATAGATCTAATGATAATACATTTACGATTATTTTACATTTGAACGTGCTTTAAACTGTGGCATAATTAATAAATATTCTGTGTTTGGTAAATTCGGTATAATTATGAGGTGTAATCTCTTTCTATAAAATATATAAATTTTTTACCCTTTTAACAAAGTGAATTTTCATGATCAAATTTATATTTTTACTCTTACGAAAAAATTAAGATGACTTATCACTAAACTAATATTTTGGTCGTTGAATACATGGTTTAGCATGACCTTTCCACATTTGCTTTAATACGAAACCGACTTCGTTGGAATAACGTAACACAATTTGATTGAATCAACTTTTTTTTTTTTTTTTTTTTTTTTGAATTGAATCAACTATTTTTTTTTTTTTTTTTTTTTTTTGACTGTATCAACTTAGCCAAAGGGAACAAAACTTTTCAATTGATCCATAATAAAATAGCACGTAGATGAGAAAGAGAAATTGAATTCGAATTCCTCTTTCTTTTCAGCTATATTCGAATTTAGGGACCATCTTCTAATTTTTATCATTTGATTATAAAAATTGTCTATTTTGCCTTCCCAAAGAGACTTCTTCAGAAATATTTTCACTTTTGCAATTTTCTCATACCACGGTTGGTGATCCGTGATACACCTTACCAAACACAGTGTTAGCTTTTTTTTTTTTTTTTTTTTAGTTTAGCTGAATGGATAGATTACGATTTAAGCTAAAGTGGGCTAGGATTAGCTTTAAATTGCATGTCAGAGTTTTATTTGGGCTAGGTCCAATTTCTCTGGGTTCTGTCGCATTATTACAATACGATAAATTCCATAGCCCAATCTTGTCAACAGCGTAGAACCAATGTCCAAAGGACAAGGCCCAAGAGTGTGAAACGTGAAAATATGTGGATCCATAGTTTTGTATTTGGGTCTATTTTATTGGATTTAATATTTGAAAATGCCTAATGACAATATATAATATATATAATATATATATATATATATATATAATATACTTATATATATATATATATATATATATATTATATATATATATATATATATTTACATTTTTTTTAACAATTTACATTTTTTACAAATTCTTCTAATTTTATCAAATAATAATTACAATCCAAATTAAGTTAATATAAATATTAAAACTAATGATGTCTTCTTGCATATAAGTTATAACACGTTGGCATTGACAGAAATATTTCTAAGAATATCTTCAATGCAATCGTTAATTGCACTAATTTATTTGCCACGTCTAAAAAATTAAAAGTTAAAAATAAAAATTTTCTCCAACTCTATAGTCCGTTTTGTCTGCGAGTCTGATGTGTCAAAAAAAAAAAAAAAGAGACATCGTTTATTATGCTCTCTATTTTTAAAGGATCGGTTAAACAGTGTAACTCAGCTTTTTGTTCTTTTTTTCCTTTTTTTTCTTATTTTTTTATTTTCCTTTATACTTTTCCTTTAATTACGCTTAAACTTCTTCTTGTGTTCAAATTGATTTATTCTTTATGCATTGGAGGACCATTTTTAAAATATAACATCTACAGATACACGTTCAACCACATTATTATCCACAATTTATATTTAGTAAAACACATCATTCACGATCTATGGTTGCATTGGAAATGTTATAACTACCAAATAAAAATTCTACCTCTTCTGATTGATTCGGTGTCATAGCCCTCCCCTTGGTAAGTATTGTCCGCTTTGGGGCGTTACGTATCGCCGTCCCCCTCACGGTTTTGTCCCCTCAGGCAGGCTTTGCAACCCCCAAAAGGCCTCAACCATTTCCTGGACCACCCTTCTTATGTACAGGGACCATCTCTACTTACCGATGTGGGATTTGCCTAAGGTGTGCTGGCTTGCCACAATACACCCCCCTTGGGGACTCAGCGTCTCTTGGGGACGGCGATAACTAACGCCCAAGGGACAAAGCCGTGAGGAGGAATGTAGCTCTATAACTCTCCAAAGCGGACATTCTAACAAGGCAGGGCCCACACTCTGAATTGCTTAGGCCGCCTCCTTGAGGAATGTAGATAAGAACTCTCTCATACGAGGACAAACCCGTGAGAGGGAAATGTAGTTATCGAACTCCTCACAGCGGACATACTTAAGTAAGACAGGGCCTACCAAAGTTGGACCACTGAATTTGCTTAGCGCGCTCTTGGGGGACGGCGAACGTAACGCCCCCAAGGGACAAAGCCGTGAGAGGAATGTAGTAGTAACTTCTCCAAAGCGGACAATTCTAACCAAGGCAGGGCCCACACTCTGAATTGCTTAGCGCGCTCTTGGGGAACGGCGATACGTAACGCCCAAGGGACAAAGCCGGTGGAGGAGGAATGGACAAAGCGTGAGGAGGAAATGGTAGCTAGTAACTCTCCAAAGCGACAATTCCTAACCAAAGGCAGGGCCCACACTTCCTGAAATTTGCTTTAGCGCGCTCTTGGGGGACGGCGATACGTAACGCCCAAGGACAAAGCCGTGAGGAAGGAATGTAGCTAGTACTCTCCAAGCAGACAATTCTAACCAAGGCCAGGGCCACACTCTTGAAATAGCTGTTGTTGTAGGCAAATTCCATGAGATGTACATATCTGTCCCAGCTGCCTTCAAATTCTATAACACATGATCTCATCATGTCTTCTAGGATTTAAATTACTCTCTCTGACTGGCATTCTGTCTGAGGATGAAATGCAGTGCTGAAATGCAGTTTTGTTCCTAATGCTTCCTGCAATTTACCCCAGAACTTCGATGTAAACCTTAGATCACGATCAGATATAATGGATGATGGAA